CAGCTGTGAGGCAAAACAACCTCCCAGTTCTAACTGACAGCATCTCAAGGAAAAGTGGGCAAATTTAAGCTGAAGGGACTGGAATATGCCATGTGAGGTGAAACACTCAGGTAGTAACAGCAAGCCTTTAAAAGACTCCGTGCACAAATGGCGTGATGATTTACTGGCATTAACTTTGAATAGATTTTCATCCTTTGTCCTTTGAGTGTCTTCTTCCTTCTGAAAGGTCTTTTTTTTACCAAACCCGAATTATACTTCCTCAATGTATCTCTTAAAAATAAGTGAACTGGAAATAAATGAAATTTCCCCCAAGAACAGATGCATACAGACACGCCAGAAATTCATTAAGGTTTAGTAAACTTACAAAAACTAAACTCAAGGAATTAAAAACTACTAAGGAACTTCAACTATGCCTGGCATCTTCACATGAAATAAAAATCACTCACATGTGTCAAATTTCTGTAGCACTGTACATCCCTGGAGACCCCAAAGAACTTAACAGATCCAAGGCTCTGTGATGTTACAAGCTTTGGCTTTAAGGAGATGGTCTTCAACCCAGTGCAGCTGCTTGTGTCAGAGTTGGGAGCTATTTGTTTCCATGAAATTAGAAAGTAAAACCATTATTTACAATCAAAAGGGACCGACCTTTTAATGGATTTCTGCATTTTTGCAAATACCAAGTACATGAGTTTGTGAGAAGAAATCTTAACTTGTTGTCAGAACAGAATCACAGAACAGTTTAGGTTGGAGGGTGTCTCTGAAGGCTGTCTGCTCCAAACCCTCCTCTTCCCCTCACGCCACCCCTTGTCTAAAGCAGGGCCAGCTTCCAGCAGGTCACTTTGGGTCGTGTTGTGTTGGGTTTTCAGCCTTTCCAAAGATGGAGGTTCCCAGTCTCCCCAGGCAACCTGCTGTAGCACTCTGCTCCAGCAGAGCAAAGCCAGTCTCCAGGAGACTCACTTAAACTCCCAATTCAAAGGAGTTTGGGCACTTCTTTATTAGGTGAGGCTCAGCTCTCTGCACGGTAATACATCACAGCAGAAAAGCACTTTCCATCCAACTAGAATGGCAATAGAACAGTACTGTTTTCCTTCTAAAAAAAAAAAAAAATTACAGGATTTTATTACATGTGATGAGAGCTTATTTAAGTTTCAACATAAAAGCAATGTATCATACATGTCTTAATTTCTGGTATTAATTTCCAGCAAGCTGTAACATTGCAGCAGGGGATAATTTATACTAAAAGACTCAGCAATTCAGTGGATGCGTGGGGTGTCATGGAAATCTTTCTGTTAAAATAGAAGCGAGGAAACAGTCAACGTTAAATTTTAAGTTTTCAGTACTGGGGTTCAGGATGATAACCAGCTGCTTGAACGCAAGTGAAGGAGAATCCATACATCTTTGTACTGAGGTGCTGGAGCGGGTCCAGAGAAGGGCGACAAAGATGGTGAGGGGTCTGGAGAATAAGTCTTATGAGGAGAGGCTGAGGGAACTGGGGTTATTCAGCCTGGAGAAGAGGAGGCTGAGGGGAGACCCTATTGCTCTCTACAACTACCTGAAAGGAGGGTGTAGAGAGGTGGGGGTCGGTCTCTTCTCACAAGTCACAGGCGACAGGACAAGAGGAAATGGCCTCAAGTTACACCAGGGGAGGTTCAGGCTGGATATTAGGAAAAATTTTTTCACTGAAAGGGTTGTCAGACATTGGAATGGGCTGCCCAGGGAGGTGGTTGAGGCACCATCCCTGGAGGTGTTCAAAAGACGGGTTGATGTGGTGCTGGGAGGTCTGGTTTAGTGATGGTGTTCCTTGTTTGTTGTGTGGGTGTCTATTTTTGTCAGTTAGGTTGACGGTTGGACAAGATGATCTTTAAGGTCCCTTCCAACCTAGAAGATTCTGTGATTCTGTGATCTTCCAAGTGCAGGTTTCAGTCAGCCTGCTGGCGGGGCTTTGATGCCACGCACTGCTGTCACATTCCACCCAGCTTCTGAACGCCAGCTTTGCAGTGGTAAATACTTCAACATAATCCCTACATCTTCCAGTTCCTGCTTCTGGCAAGCGAGCATGAATATGCAGTGAATTCCACAGCCCGGGAACCGCGTGCATGAGATTCTCAGGAAGAGGGATGTTTTCTGATCCCGTGGCTGCTTTTCAAGCAGCTTTTGTGCAGCGTCTGCTTTGCTGATGCGGATTCTCTACGCGTGTTCTTCTCAAGGAACGGCTGCGTAGTCATTTTAATCTGACATAAATCTGGCCTGTCACTAACACAGTTAGTCCCACCATTCTTGTTCCCAGCTCCTCACACTCCCTGCCTCTGTTGTGCCAATTCACTCACTCACGTACCTGAGCTGTAAATTGTATCAGGGAACACATCCTGCTGAAAAAAATAAGCTTTTTCTGCAGTTTGCTGAAGTAGGTTTGGCTGCGTGCTACGTTTAATCTGATCTAAGTCTGTCCCACCCTCTCCCTGTGCTGCCCACAGCACGCTAGAAAACAAATTCAGGAAACAAAATATTCTTTTTGGAGCCAGATCAGCTCACTCATCCAGTTCACTGCACAGCCACTGCAGTAACAGTATGAGCATGAAGAACAAGTGCTTGGGCCTGAAAAGAAGGCGCCTCCCTTTCAATAGCAGCCTGGACACGTGCTGGTTTAAATACACTATTTTCGCTGTTTATCTCACACAAGTACTTTTTCAGATGAAATATTAATAAACAAGTTTACAAGAGCATATAAATCATAACCTTGCAAGCTTTTCAACACACTACAGTAGCAGAAGACGCATTTTTACTTTCTCATTCTTTGCTTGTTCTCATCTCGTTTCTTCAGTGGATGTCTGCTCACTGTTAAAGATGCAGAAATACTGGCATTTACTGTGCAAAACCTTAGCACATGTCCACATCCCAAATAAATCATGAAGTGAAACCGATTCGAACAGATTCAGTCAACAAAACGTGCTTCATTTTCATATTCTTTAATGACCACAAACATAAGATGAAAAAATTTAAACAACTAAATACAAACACCTACATAAAAGCAGATTCCAAAACCTTAGGGGGAAAAAAAAAAAAAAAAAAGCTGTTTTTAAATCCTGTAAAGGAATACTACTTCACATCCTTGTTGCAATCAATAGGATGGTAGAGAGAAAGAGAAAATCTTAGTCTACTGACAAATATTACAATTGTTTATAAGAAGTATTAAAGTTTTTACATTCTACATAATTATCTTTATATAACAGTTGTAAGAAATTCTATCCAGCTACCATCCTAACAAACACAATGACTGCATGAGAACTTTTTGTATTTAAAAAGATATAAGTAGAACAACAGCCTTGTGTGTAAATGCTGTCTGCTATAAGGAACAGGAAAATGGTGTACACTGAAAGTAAAATGTTTTCATTTTTCAGATAAACAGCCTTGTGGTGTTTTAATATATTGGACCAGAAAGATCTTAGTGGATGAGGAGTCTTTGATAAGATCATGGTCATCTTAAAATGTAAATACAGAAATGACATAACTGACTGATATTTAATCTGGAGATTAGGATACTCCAGCTGTACTGCAAGGCAGATAAAGATGAATGAGCTTGGTTTAAAAAAAGTCAGATTATTATTTTTTTATTTATTAATGTCAGTAATTCAGAGTGTGAGCTGAATTACAGCTAAACAGCACAGCCAACTATCGTCAATACACTCCTGACATTTCCTTAATGCTAACACTGGGACTCATCCGAAGCTCTAATGAGCCAGTCCAGGGAATAAAACCTAAGAAAACTGATCCCACAAAAAGCAGTGATTAATCTTCAGCTAGTTTGGCCCTGTGACCTTCATAGGTAAATAAAAACATCTGTAAACAAGTATCTTAAAAATCTTACAAAAATGAACTAAAGTCCCATGAAGGAATAATACTTCCTATCTCTGTTGTGATCAATAGGCTGGAAAATGGGAAAACCTGACAAACTTTATTTAAACAGTTTTTTATAGGGAACATGAAAGTTCGTGTCTTATATTCTACATATTTCTATAATCAAGAAAGAGTGAAAATAAGGTAATCAGTTATTAGAAGAAATTTTCGGTTATCAGCGAGGAACCGTTATTCTGCCTCTGCAGCTCTACTTAGCTAAGTCTATAGTTCCTTTTTTAATAATTTCAAGGTGACTCTCCAGAGTCAAACTTTTCACTCAGCAGGAACTGTGGGCTAAGACAAGAAGGGCCACTTTTTAAGTTATAGAGTCAGAGTGATTTGGGTTGGAAGGGATCTTAAAGATCATCAAGTTCCACCCCCCCTGCCATGGGCAGGGACACCTCCCACTAGAGCAGGGTGCTCAAAGCCCCATCCAGCCTGGCCTTGAACACTTCCAGGGATGGGGCATCCACACCTTCTCTGGGCAACCTGTTCCAGTGTCTCACCACCCTCACAGTAAAGAATTTCTTTCTAGTATGTAATCTAAATCTCCCCTCTTCCAGTTTAAAACCATTACCCCTCATCCTATCGCTACACTCCCTGATAAAGAGTCCCTCCCCACCTCTCCTGTAGCCCCCGTTAGGTACTGGAAGGCTGACACAAGGTCTCCCCGAAGCTTTCTCTTCTCAAGGTTGAACAACCTCAACTCTCCCAGCCTGTCCTCATAGGAGAGGTGCTCCAGCCCTCTGAAGATCTTTGAGGACCTCCTCTGGACCCTCTCCAACAGGCCCATGTCCCTCTTGTGCAGACTTATGAATTAAGTCTGCAGCCAGAGACCAGCTGGCACCCCCACCTCCCTGCATCTTCTTTCTTCATTCTTAGACGCCCCTCATTTGCACAAACGCTTTTCGAGCCCTCAGTGACCTCACTAGTCCCTTCGCATTCAGAGACACAAAAAAACCACCCCCAAACGAACAGAAATACAGAAGGGACAGCCATTTCGCCAGGTAGGCGGTACCTCCGCCCCTCAGGCACCTCTCTGCTACAGTCACTGCTTCCCTCACAGCGACGGCCGTTGCCCTCCCACTGCCGGCAGCCACGTCCAGCGGTGTGGCCAGCACCGGGTCCTGCCCCCCTCCGCGCTCCGCCGGCGATCGTTTACCCGGGGTCAGGCCAGGCCGGCTGCCCCCGCTCGGCCCCGCGGGGAGGCCGAGGCGCCCTCGTCCCCCCCTCGACTCCCCTCAGCGACGCCCCCCGCCCCGACGTAACGTCACCACCATGCGCACCTTACGCGCCCTCCTCATTGGCGGAGCCGCCCCCGCCCGCTGCCGCGCTGAGGACCCGAGGGGGGAACAGAGCCTCCCCCCGCCGGCATGGGTGAAGCGGCGCAGCCCCCGCGGCCGGGGATCGGCGTGGGGGTGGTGGTCACCAGCCCCGCGCACCCCAACTGCGTCCTCCTGGGCAAGAGGAAAGGCTCGGTAGGGGCCGGCACCTACCAGCTCCCCGGAGGTCACCTGGAGTTCGGGTAGGAGCCCCGAGCCACCCCCCCTACCCCCCCAATCCCACACACCTCCCCCCGGGTCAGCCCGTCCTGAGGCGGCCTTGCCTTCCCCCGCCCGCAGGGAGAGCCTGGCGGAGTGCGCCGCGCGGGAGACGCTGGAAGAGGCGGGGCTGCGCCTGCGCCGCCTGCGCTTCGCCTCCGCCGTCAACGCCTTCTGCGCCGCCGCGCGCTACCACTACGTCACCGTCCTCATGAAGGGCGAGGCCGAGCCGGGGGCGGAGCCGTGCAACCGCGAGCCCGAGAAGAACGAGGGTGAGGGGCGTGACGTGACGTCAGTCGCGGGGCGGCGTGACGTCGGCGGGAGGTCGCTCGGCGGGAAGGGGTGCGGGTGCGGCTGTGGGGAAATGCGCCTTTCTGCTTGCCTTTGTGGCCGCGCGCTTTGAGGTAATGAGGCGAGGGAGTGGCAGCGGGTAGGTACACCTGATATATGAGGGGAGATTTAGATCAGATTCTATAAAGAAATTATTCACTGAGAGGGTGGTGAGACACTGGAACAGGTTGGCCAGAGAAGCTGTGGATGCCCCATCCCTGGAAGTGTTTAAGGCCAGGCTGGATGTGGCCTTGAGCAACCTGGTCTAGTGGGAGGTGTCCCTGCCCATGGCAGGGGGGTTGGAACTCGATGATCTTCAAGGTCCCTTCCAACCCAAACCATTCTATGATTCTATGATATAAGGCAGATCTGAGAAAACACCAACTTGCAGTAGGATCCAGGTTTGGAATCACAGAAGGGTTTTTGGGTTGGAAGGGACCTCTAAGGGTCATCCAGCCCAGCCCCCCTTGGAATGAGCGGGGACATCTTCGACTAGATCAGGTTCCTCAGAGCCTCGTCCCACCGGACCTGGAATGTCTCCAGGGATGGGGCATCTCCCACCTCTCTGGGCAGCCTGTCCCAGCGCCTCGCCACCCTCAGTGTAAAAAAATTCCCTTAAGGGAAGGAAAGTAATTTTAAATTAACTGTGTACGCAACGGAGAACTTTGTGTTGGTAACTTCAGAATCCACCCAGACTCACGGCGGCAGAATTATTACAGGATTAATTTTACGCTCTGGCTTTTTATTTTTCTTTCATTTTTATTTCCCTGCAGGTTGGGAATGGGTTAAGTGGGATGAGTTTCCACCGGCAGATCAACTGTTCTGGGCCCTGCGCTGCTTACGAGAGCAAGGTTACAATCCCTTCACAGAAGAGCTCGACCATCTCAGGGGGTACACGGGAAGTCACCAACTAGGCTAAAAACTTAATTGCACATTATGGAACAGACTGGAGGACAGACCTGTTGGTTTTTTTTTTTGTTTGATGTAAAAGAAAAAAAAAGGATAAATATCATGCTTGCTCTGCCCCTATCAAAATATGACCCTTCCCAAAGCCAGAAAGATGCCAACGTTTCTGTGCTTTTACCATATTTCACACAACTGTTGTCTCTCATTCCAGAGCTATTTCTAGCTCTAGTGGTTAATGTTTTCCTTTGTAGAAAATTCAGTGTTTTATCTGGTTAATCCTTACATAGATGAGTATCCCTTTGGAAGGCAGAACTTGTCAGAGCAGCTCACTCACTTGGAAACGGTTGTAGTATCAGGCCCCAGAGAAACTGATTGGTGTAAACCACTGTCCTGCTTTCTGCGTGAAACTACTTGGTACGTCGTGCTGCTTTCCTTTAATTATAAATATTGGACCAATTTTTAAACTTCGCCTTGTTTCACAGCTTCAGTTAAGACACTGTCATGAACAAAAGTCTCATTTTACAGACAGTGCCTCATTCTCCTGCCGACAGTAGTACGTACTTGGAAAACAGTGTTTATAAACAGGAAAAGGCTGCAGTGGCAATTTCCCTGACCCTTCTTGCCACCCCCTTTTCATTACAGAGTTCTGTTTACAGCCTCAGTTACATTAGAATTTATCTGCAGGAGCATTTCAGATCTCTGCAAGTTCATCTTCATTTCTGATCATGTTACTAAACCCTTGAACAGTTTAACCAAGAGGCACCTACACTATTCTATGAGGTTGACACAAATTACCATTGTACAAACCAATCTCATTTGTAGGTGTAGCTCTACAGCAGACAGTCATACTTTTCCACTAAAGAAGGTTGTCAGTATTTAAACAGCACAGATGGGTGCAATTCTGTATGGCTGCTGGGATTTGATAGAGTTAATTTTCAGTGACTAAATGACTGAACAGGTAATGAATGAAATCGCAGTACACAAAGGTAGATACAAATGAGTTAATATTTTTTATTTTTCTAGAATCTGTAACCAAATTTGATTCTTTTCCAGCTGTAAGTCATTAGCACATCAGCAATTAATTTTAGGATATGACTTTTAAAAAAATAACTAGTTGGGTAATTTTTTTTCCTCTTTGGGGTTCTTTCAAAGCACTGTTTTTGTCTGTTTCCTTTAGATATACTCATTGTACAAAAAATGTTCTGAGATGCCTTTAATTTCTTTTGAATAAAACATAAGCACAATATCGAAGGATTAAAATTGAATTGACTTGTCAGTTCTTAAAAGCAATGAGCTTGAAGGGTTTAAAAAGCTCTTCCTTACTTTGCACGTACATTTTCTTAAATGGAGACAGCTCTTTTCACTGAGATGCAGAGTGATACAAGGTATAAAGATGCTACTGACGATTGCAAGCCTCCTGCTTAGAATTTGAAGTATTAACTACGCACAACTTCCTTTAGGACAGATACTCTTTCTCTGAAGTGAACAAAGAAGATAATGTTGTAAAGCAGTTTTGAAATGGGAAATATCACAGAAAATTCCTTTACTACGGTATCTTTGTTGAAAGCTTATTTTTTCTATTCAAAAGTGGAGATTTTCTTCCTGAAAGCAACTTTACGTACACTGAAAATTATTCCTTTCAGCAGTCAACAAAGATGCTCCATGAAGAGTTGACAGATGTCCTGCCCATCTGTCCCAAAGAATAATTAAAAAAAATAAATTACTAAGATGATTTAGTGCCATTTTAAATTTTCTTTACATTTCTAACTCCTGATAAGAAAACAGGGGTCACTGTAAAATGGTTTGTATACAATAAATATTTTGTTACCATTAATGGTTATATTCATTCTATCCGTTGTAAATATACAAGTAGTTACTGAAATGAGGACACAAACAGTATCTCCATATGTCAAGGTTTCTGTGTCCTGTCTAAGTGGACTCATTAACTGACTACAGTGCATTACTGCAAACAGCTGTCAGCAATCCCTAACTTAAATAACTTGTTTTTTATGTATCGTGCATTTTTACTTTCACCCCTCCCCCCCCAAAAAAATTGATTTTCAATAGTTTTTAGCTGCCAAGACTTGGCCCTTTACTTTGATTTCACTGAATTTCACTGAATTTCCACTGAATTTCTAGAGTTGGAAGGGACCATAGAGATCATCTAGTCCAACTCCCCTGCTGAAGCAGGATTGCCTAGAGCTAGAGCATGTTACTCAGGACTGCATCCAGGCGGGTTTTGAAAATCTCCAAAGAAGGGGACTCCACAACCTCCCTGGGCAGCCTGTTCCAGGGCTCTGTCACCCTCACCGTGAAGAAGTTTCTCCTCATATTTGAGTGGAACCTCTTATGTTCCAACTTGTGCCCGTTGCCCCTCGTCCTCTCGGTGGGAACCACTGAAAAGAGTCTGGCTCCCTCCTCCTTCAACCCTCCCTTGAGATACTTGTAGGCGTTGATAAGGTCTCCCTTCAGTACTTTTGCTAAATAGGAAAATTTATTAAGTACATATCCAAGTCGCTGAATAACAAAACACCCAGTTAAAACTTTGCGGTTTGCCAAATTGCTTGTAACAGACAGAATTCACCTAAAATGGCATTATACTTACCTAGCATTGAGAAAATTCACTCCTGAGCAATACATAGTCTGGAGCACTGATGTAAGAAACTCAGCAGGATGCATCTTATACCCAGAGTCTGATTTTTATGCTAAGCAACCAGTGGGCAGAGCTGTCATCTTACCTATTTCTTAAATGTAACACGTTGGTCCCATTTAATCCCTTAACAGAGTAGCAAACAACCCAGAAAAAGAAGTCGTCATTGCTTCTGTTCACTCTTATTTATTAAATGTCTGGAACAGTCACCTGCCTCCCCAATATTTCAGTTAGTAAATCACCTGATACAGCCATATAAGAGTTTTGGGTAGACTGTACCTTATACTTCCCATGAAAATTAAGTAGCTCTATTTGTATTTCATTCCAAGAAAATAAAGACGACAGAGACTGTTGAGCTGTGGCTGTGTAATAATACACATTGGGCATTTAGGGAAGAAAATACTAATCCCACAGTACAAAGCATTAAGAAAATGCATTTTGCAGTATTGTGTATGATTGTTATCATATATGTTTTAAGAATAATGTAGAAACAGTGTGAACTAGAACAGGAGTATACAAGGTTAATTAGGCTGATTGAGAGAGACTGGGTGTATTGAGATGAACATGAATTAAGGAGGAGATACAGTTCTCTATAAAGACATTGGGAGTAAACACCAAAAAGGAAAAAGAGGATACTGAATAAAAGTTAACATATATAGATAACTTTATATTGCAAAATAGAGGTGAAATTTTAGTAACTTTGAAAATACTTCCAAAAGGAACAGCTGAGACAAAACCAAATTCTTCACTTCTTTTTTAAAACAAGAAGTGCTGCCCCGTATTACGTGACTGAACGTGACTGAAGAGGTCCTTTTCATTTCTACATCCTTATGGGATTTGTACATACATTGGTCATATGTGGCAGCGTTACGGACAGCAGTAGTTGAAAGACTGAGCAAATAAAGAAGTACCTGGTTTATCAGATACTTCCAGTATTTACAAAATGGAAAAGTGGGGAGAGTTGTGATCTGTGCTTCAGGAACTGCCCTCGTTGCAGGGCAGAAACCTGTAACTGCCACGAGCAACAGTTCACATAAGTAACCCTCTGATCAAATTAGAAGACTGAAAAGTAGCTGTCATAAAATGACTCCTTAAGCAAAACAGAGCAAGGAAAGGAAAGCCAAGGGAAGTGCCTTTGGAAAGATGAAAGAACGTTGTAGCTGAGGCAGGAAATGCAACTGCTGAAGTAAACAAATTAGCAGGTTCAAAGAACTGAAAAAAATATAGATTACAAGAATAAAGAATCTGGGAGCACTTTGAACTGAAAGGAGCTGAACCTGCAGCGTTCCCCAAAGGGTGTCATCTCCAGAGTCCCAGGATGCTTAACCAAAGTATCACTGAAGTCTTGGAATGGCCACTCTACATCACTGCCTCGGGGTCTGCCTAGTTCTGCGCGTACGTGAGAAGGCTCAGCTGAAAAGGACAGACTTCCAGGTCCTGACCACTCAGCTGCTCCTAATACTGACTTGGCATTTTGCAAAAGGGAAAGCTGAGTACAAACTTCTGAAACTTAATCAGAATTCAACCACATACTGGGATAAAATGTGCTGAGTACTGGTTACACAGTAACCCATCTAAGATTTAAGTTTGCAAAACGCAACATAACAGTTACATCAAAGCCGAGTTTATTTATGACAAATCATTCATTATATATTACAATAATTACAAACTTTTTCTTTTTTACACCTTTTTGCCATATTTTTGTTCTTGGCATACAGAAGATGATCAAGAACATGTGTTTAGGCAGTAACAAAAGAAGATATTAAAATTACAAATTTCATGCCTCATTTCTGAGAAAAGGCTATCAGCAAAAGAGTGAAGTTACTAACAAACATACAAGGGGATTCCCCTTACACCTTTTTTTCCCAGGAACTTTTGTCATCTAATGTATAGTAAGTGTATATATATATATATACAGCACGTCTCTTGTAAACATACACATTCACACATTTACATAATCACTGGAAATTTGACATCTCTCCTCCAGCAGAAAGCTCCCAGTCATTTTACGTGAACATCTATTTCTCCTCCAGCAGAAAAGCTCCCAGTCATTTTACGTGAACATCTAATGGGGGAAAAAGGAAAAAAAAAAAAGGTTCTAAAGTCCACAGTTTTAAATCAGTCACCCTATTTCTGAGTCAGCTGTTACCTTCTCCCTACAGAGGGCCGCCAGAGTAACAAAAGGATATTGCTGTTTGTGACAAACAGCATCCAACCTACCTTCACCACAGGAAAGGTCTACTGGAGATACTGTCTCTCTTGTACCTAGTCTGAGTCACTGCTGCTGCTGGAGGAGTCTGTTGACATAACTTCTACATCATCTTCATTCTCTTTATTGTGTCCTGGAGGCTCCAACATAAAGTCATTACTATGATTAGGAGGTAGCATGTTCATTGACATATCACTTGACTGCCAAGGGTACTGAGGAGCGAGCACATCTGGAAAAAAGGAGCAAAATCAATCAATCAATCAGCTTCGTGTATTAACAAATTCAACTAGACAGCTCAACCAGAACTCCAGTTCAAAATTAAAACAAATCTTAAAATCCTTCCTGAATTTTGGACAGATGAAGCCCTCCACTAACAGCTGGAAAACATATCTTAATTGATAGATCATTCTATCACTGTAAAAGCCTACTCTGCCAGACCGACCTATTTATGTAGGTGGCTCTTGATCTCTCATCACTCCACTTCAAAACAGTATATATTCACACAGAGCTTTTCATCTTCAAAGCACAGTTTGAACTGACTTAACATTCACAACCGCTGGCAGTAATGAAAATGGTCACCCTCTGTCAGTATGCAAAAATAGATGAAAACATTAGATCAAAAAAAAATACTTAAGGCAGACCATGGAAATTCAGAGTAAAAGGTTTTATCCAAATTTGGTGGAAACACCTTCATTATTCTTTTTCCAACAGTAAATATGGTGGGTGCATCACTACTACACAACCAGTAGCAGATACTGGTAAAGATACTCTGTCTACAGACATCAAGTATCAAGAGATAGTTGAAAATGGCACCCATTTCAAAACTTCAGTACACATCTATATGCCATTTCTGCTCCCTTCCTTTTAATTTAGGCTCACTGCTGTGCTTCAGTTTTTCTCCACTTATTACGAGGCACTGTAGCTAAGTCTATCCCACAGAAGAAACCAGCTGTCTCCTGCTTGTAGCAAGAATTAAAAATAATTAGGCAGAGTCAGAAGTGAACAAAAGCCCAACCACATGGGACTTAGAGCACAGAAAGAGAGGGCAGGGGGTCATAAATGGTAGACTTCTTCTCACTCAGGTGCTGCCTAGCTCAGAAGCACCAGACTCCACGCACATTGTAGCTTCTGATAAGTCTGTAGACACCTGAGATTCCACATGGCAACTACAACCACAGCCCCCCCCCACCAGATGGATTACCAACTGTACAAATCCAACCCACCATCAGATGTGAGGATGTAATGTAGCCTTTGTGCCAGTTCTGTGCCCGCTTCAGGAAGACCAACAGTAGTACCAGGTGATCTCATCCCAGCTGTGCTGAGGCTAATCTGCTTTATTTGAAGCAGCTGAGAATGTAAGCCAGTGTCTTAGGTCCTGTGGCCATGCTTCAATGCCGGACCAGTCCACTATTAAATCAAGCTGTGCTGCAGTTTCAAAGTTTTGACGCTACCAAGCAGCCCAGTGGCTGGCTTGCAGACTCAGCATGGAGTCAGTAACTGGTCAACTCTCCACACAGGTCTCTAAAAGGACACATCCCATAATTAGCAGTCTCAGGAGATGCCTCCTCCACACACCAACAGATTCAAGATCCCTACACAAAATGCCAGGACAGCCTCCAGTTTCTTTTAAATGAAGTTTTGGTGTTTCCCTCTTACCTGACAGTCTAGCAATTAGACGATTTCCCCTGACATAGGAGACCCAGATTCAATTAACAACTTAAACTCCTTAAATAAAGTCCCACATTTTCCAGCTTCTCAAGGAAAAGTCTGAAAGAGTGGGATTTCAGTTCTTACAGAGACAGCACTCAAAAGTAAAAGGAACAACTCTGCATCCCCAAAGGCAAAAGAGCCAGCCAGAGAGGGCTCTACAGAAACAACTCCGTGGGGAAAACACAACCTTAACAACTCCCCTGATCGTATTTCAAAAGAACAGAAAAGATACGTGGGCCCATCATGAGCATTTCCCTGGTAGGTTGCTGTGAACAGATGTCAGGGTCCCTCTCCTATTCGGCTCACTGACCCATTTGATCCAAGGCCAAAGGTTTAGAAAGTGAGATCATGCAGAACTTCAAGTCACTTCCCAAGAGGTGGTAAGAGGATTAGACAGATCATTGGAAATGCTAAATCCAAGTTTGCTATTTCTCCATATTTTTTTTTAATAAATTCAGTACGATTTTTGAAAACAACCTTCCTGCAATACCTGCAAGTGGCCTAACAGACACGTCAGAACTGTTACGGAACTCCTATGAATCCAAACTAAGAATTTTTCCACAATTTAGTCTCACCGTGGTGGATTAATGCTGCACAGGTACAGAACCACTGAATTCTTGGTGTAGTTACTGTAACTTACTGCCAAATTCTATTTTAGCATGAATGAATGAATCCCACTAGCCAGTGGGAGTGCACATTTCACTAAGCAATTACAGGATTAAAGCTCGATTCCTACACTCAAGGTACTACCTCACCAGTGCGATGTCTTTTCAATCCAGAACTTCTAAACAACAACAACTTCTAAACAAACAAAGATATAGAGCTATATAGAGCTAGACTTAAAGAAAGGGAGGGAATATGCTCCTTTTCTTTTGAATGCACCTTTCCCACTTCCATACTTTGTCATCACTGCTAAGGAAAGTTTGCTTTGAAAATTCTGCTTTTAAATATGATCTCATATCACTTAATTTACAGCAATTTTAAACAGGTGAATTGAAGGGTAACCGAATTTTGTTTATATTGACTTAGTTGTAGTGTCTGCAGTATGATTTAGCATGAAATAAAATGAGGCAATTTCTAATTGTTAATTTTATTCACTACATGTTCGCTGCTAGGGAACAACGTTAGCCATAATGTTCATTATTTTAACTTTGATTTGCCTTTGCTAAGGGAAACATATAATTGCTATGACTGTACAAGGAATAAAGTAAAGCAAAACAAAAACGAGTTTCCCTTACCTGGCAGTCTGCCTGCTGCAAGTGCATCCCCTGGTAAGTGTCCATTAACTCCATTGGTGGATGGGTTGTTCATCTGACCCAAGAGACCACTCCTCATTTCCAGATCAGTAGGATATGGCCTACGTGGGTCCCCTTTAAAAAAAAAAAAAAAAAAAAAAAAAAACACCACAAAGATATGTTTTTAAATTGTCTTGCAGACATTAACTTTTTCTTCAGTGCCTAATTTCCTGACCAAAACCCCATACGGTGATTGTTGAGATCAACTGCTTTGCTGAAACCCAACTTTATGGCTTTCACTTAACTTTCTTTGCTCATTCAAACTTGTCAGAAAAACTTATCTTTGCTCTCCCTGCTATTTCACAGCTAAACAGCAAGGACAGGAATTGGGAAAAAAAAAAATAAAAAAAAAAAATTTCATTTTGGAAAGATAGATAGTCCCCAAAATTGAAATGTGACATAATGAAAATTCTGCTTCTGACTCCACCAACTACTAACATTCTCTGTAAAGAATACTATAAGGGGCAGGAGAAGACACAACCAAGCACACATTAAGACCTTTAACATACTTGGTTCTAACTTATAACTGGGGAGAATACTGAGGGGGAAAAGGCAAACAAAGGAGAGCAGAGAAGCCCAGTCAATGGAAGCAATCAGTTTCATAGCCTTTTGAAGATATACTTACAGTCTACAGGACTTTGGATACCAATTTTTTAAAAAAATATTAGATATAACAGCTGAAAACTATTATAATAAACTACAGTGTTTTTCACTATATAAAAGCATTGTAAGACCAGATACTGACCATGCTTTATTACAAAAAAAATCCTCTTGTGATAAACATGATAGTTACCTGGTACCCATGTCAGAGGAGCACAAACAGCATTGCTAGCACTGATCCTATGGGCATATTTAATTATTTCTTCAGAGGAAATGGCACCTGGAAAATGAGAAGGAAAGATACTACATTCTCAAGAAAATGTATCATTCAATTCTTTTGGAATATTTGATGCTAATATTGAAAAGATTGAGAATGTAATTTTGTCAAACATTAGGAGCCTGCTTCAAATGCAATGACTGCTTTGAGGATTCTTAGATTATGCAAGGATGAGCTTTGCAGCAAACTGATTTTCCAGCTACGAGTTCAGTACCTTCCATGTCAACAGTTCTTCAACCTTGTGAAAAACACAAACTAATCTCTTCAGCAGCGTACTTGACAAGCACAATTCATAAGAAAACTTCAGCACCTTCTTTATTATGGAATTTTCTGTAGTCAAGAATTTTTTTTGTTTGCTTAGTTATTGCAGAACACACGTAGCAGTCCTTCTAAATATGGGCCCAGATTACACTAATAGAAACTTTATGAAATTCCTGGGTTTTATAGATGAAAGAGGTATAACAAAATGATAAAAGACACTGTAAAATAAAAAAAAAAAAAAGAAAAAGCCTCTCACAAAAAACAAAAAATCTGTTTAGCTTGGTAAGTGCCACAGAGTGCCAGGAATTACTACAACTACAAACCAGTATCAGCAGCTAGTCAGTCTCTCAAATACAATGCACACCCACATAAACATTCTTTCCGTTTCCTCAGCAGACCAAGTGAGGCAAATTGGTGAGACAGGTAATCAAAACATAGTACTGTCACTCCAAGAAGAATGTTGAGACACTTGAATTTGAATTTAGTATTAAGATATTTGCCACAAAAAGTAATTCATTCCTGCCTTTATTCTGAAGAAACGGTTCTAGCTTCATAATGAAATAGAAATTTGTTTACACACAAAGCATCCAAAATCTGTGACAGCAGAACTTAAAAAAAATTCAAATAACCCTAAGTTGAGCTCACTAGCAATTTTCTTTACAACTGCATTTATGTACTATGTACAATCATGGATACTCACCTTTTCTTGCCTTTTCAATTGATTTCAGTTTTTCCTTTGCTTGATAAACAGCTGTTGCCTAGTTGTAAAAAAACAACAAACTAAACCAAACCTTCAATGCATTTGTACACATCTACTTTAAGTAGGCTGCATTTAATTGCATTTTAAGAGAGAAACTATTCAGTGAACATTTTCAAAATATAGAGAAGTAAAATAGGTTTGGAAAAAAATTAGCATTATAGAACAAAACTGAATACCATGTTAACTTAACAGTATCTGACTACTGAAAAAAAACCCAAACCACCACACTCTTACGAAGTTTTAAATATTTAAATCTCCTCAAACTAACAAAACACTACTTTCCCCAGAACCACCTTTTTCACAAGTAGATGCTCAAAAACAAACATATAATTATGAACTTACCAGTATGTGTTCTGCTTCTTTTAGTTGTTTCTGCAGCTGCTGAATATCATTATCCCTCTTTTCTACTACCTTTTCTAAAAGCTGCATTTCATGATGGATTTTCCCCTGATCAACTGCCAGCTTCATTAGCTCTTGAAACTCTCCATCTCTCTGTATCAGCAGTTCCAGGATCTATTGAACAAGAGTTTTGTAGAACTTTTAATTTAGCTAGAACAACAACACACCCTCAATCGTGCTGCTAAGAGCAACTGACATCTATTGAAGTATAGGAGTTTACATGAGAAATGAAACAAAATTTCTTCCTCTGTTTGCAGAAACAGCCTATGAAGCATACAGCAAATGAACAAACAGCAACATGAGGACCAAGAATGCTTTTGTAGTGGGACCAAAACGTCATCATCACCATTAGCCTGAGTGCAGGCAAAGGCAAAAGGAGAAAGAAAGGAAAAAAGGAAAAAAACAGAAGTAAAACAACTTGCTAACCCAAAGAAATACAGTTTAGAAAGTGAGCTTACCTGGCTCTCCTCTCCTGGTTGTGGAAGCTTTTGGTTTCTTGAAATTGCCAAAATTTCAATTAGTTCCCTGAAAGGAAAACTCTGTTTGCACAATTTTCTATGACATTATTTGTAAATCACATCACATCATCCCAAAATTGTCAGAGTACTGATATCACTACAGAAGTATTTATGGAATTGAGTATTTTATAGTTTTGTAGTATAGTGTTGGCAGGGATTTCTCAACTAGGAGTAATTCTGTGAATAGTCTGATGATTGCAGCACATTTTCATTGAGCTTATAAATTGCTCGTGCATTTGTACTCACGGAAAGTGCTACGTTCCTGCTGAACTACATAAGATGTGAGCAGAAGCTGAGAAGAAACAGCACAATGAAATGCATTCATATTTTACTGCTCTTGCTTGTTGCATGAGGGCATTAAAGTTCTCTTCACTATTTTACTTCTTTACTTTTCCTCCATATTTTCCCAACAGAGTAAGTTTCACACTTGGGTTTAGAGCAATTAAGTCTACACTTTCAAACAGCTAGAGTGTGTTGTGAAACCACAAGTATTTCCACAGTGGTGTATCAGTGGTATATCAAACTCAAATACCAAAAAGCAGTAATATCCTGGTGCTAGGTTGGAAGTGCTTCTCAAACAAACCTCTTGATCAGGCTTCCAGGTACCCATTTACTTTGCTACCATTACGAAAAGCTAGCGAGAACCTCAGAGGGGACTCAATAAATGACAAGAACACTGTGCAAAAAGGAATTTTCTGTAAATTCAGCAAACTTATTTGCCCTCTAAGGCTATGGATGGCAGTTCAACACCAAGCAAGAGTAACACTCCATCTGAAGACACTGTCCTTCTTTGCTTGGTCCAGTGCAAGCAGCACAGTGGGATGTACCACGAACACATCAGTAGGGCCAGAACCTTAACACAAAAACAGGTACTTTTCAAAATGTCTGAAAAAGCCCCTCACCAGTAAAGCTCTAAACAGCACCTTGGTCTATGCTTCTTGGTCACTTCTGAATGCTAAAACAATTTAAAACAATTAGAGAATGAAGAAACTTGTCATCATCACTAAAGCTTTATTCTACCTCACCAACACTGAGCAGCAGCAGCAAAAAAAAACTGTTATAAGTAGGTCAACTACTGCCATCAAGGCTGATGTCATGGAGGGCTGTAATTCTGTCCTGTGTTAGCTGGACAATGCACAGATGCAGACTCAGAACTACACAAAGGCTAGAGCTTAGACATGTTGCTTAAGTTTTGCCCCTGCCACCAAGACAGTACCCATGACTGCAAAAGGCCTAGCTCTATGGTGCTGCGACACTTCGCTCATCAACAGGACAATTCACTAAATGCTGCTGAGGGTTGCTCTGGATTCATTATGTCAGAATATTAGTCCCAAGATTTAAAAAATAATAATAATAATAATAATTTAGATACAGAGCAAGTCTTTTTTTAAAAAAAACATGTTCTCCAGCAATCCGTATGTCCCAATAAAATCTAAAATTGAAAATAAAACCTAGCCAGAAACAAAAAAAGCAACTGGCCAATATATTTTCCTTGTCCCACCAGTGGTAATCATACAGTGTGAGCCAGCCACATGGGTAGTGGGCGTTTTTCCCTCTGAAAAAGTTTTCCTAAGCTCCTGTTCTCCTCCAGAGGAGAAAAATAACTAAGAACCGGTTTGGCTGCACTGCCCTTTGTGCCCCCATAACACGGGGGACAACTTGGACAAGGGTTATCACTCCAGCCACAGGAGCATGGACGAAATATCTGAGCGTTTGTTATCACTCCAAAGACGAGCTCTGCAGCCTGCTGGGAGTGAGCCTGACACTAACACAGGCAATGAACACACCGGCCTAAGTCACCAAACACCCCGTACAAATTTCTGACCTGAGCGTGATTTCTAGCGAATAATGAACAGCCTAAAATCGGGGGTGGGCGGCGGGGGCGTGCGTTTCACAGGAAATGCAAGTGTCAACCACGAGAGAAAGGCAAGAGGAAGGCTGAGGAAGCTCTCCTTATGCTCTGGGAATAGGAAATCAGGCGCCGCCGACTCTTTCCTGTGAAGAGGAGGGCAGGCCCGGACCCAGCCCCCCGGGACACCCTCAGTCCCCTCCCGCCGGAGCCGGCCTGGGGACGGCGGGAGAGCGGGGAAACGCGTGGGCCGGGCCCTGCTCCCGCCCCGCGGCCCAGCGAGGCGTGGGGTCAGGCCGACCCCCTCCCAGCCCGACCCCAGAGGCCGCCGCCGCCGCTCCTCTCGCCGCCCCCGTCGCAGGCTCCGCGCGCACGTACAGCGCCCAGCGCCCTCTCCCTTCCCCCCCGGCCCATCCCATCCGGGTACCGGGAGCGGTACCTGGCCAAGAGCTCGAGATCCTCCAGCGCCGCCAGGAGCCGGTCCCGGGTGCTGCTCCGCTCCCCACCTCCCCCGGTCGCGGTCGTCGTTGCCGCCGCCGCCGCCGCCGCCATCACGGTCGCGGGGCGCGGACCCGTGAGAGAACCTCCACCTCCCGCCGCCGGCGGCGCCAGGCCCCGCGCGGGCCTCCCGGCAGCGCCCCCCTGCGGCGGAGGCGCCGGTTGCGGACGCCGGGCGCATGCGCAGGGCGGGCCGGCAGCCGGGAGGGTGGTCCCTCTCCCTCCCCTCCCCGTGCGGCGCGCGCGGGGGGCGGGAGGGTAACGGCCGCCGTGAGGCGCTGAGGGGTAACGGCCGCCCTGAGGAGCGGAGGGGCTGGGGAGGGAAGGGCTGGGCGGCGGTGGTGGCGGGGGAGGGGATGAGCGGTGCTCGTCGCGGCCAGCCGTGGGCGTGAGGGGAAAGGAGGTCACATCTGCCTCGGAGAGGGCCAGATGCGTGTTTGTAAAGGCCCTCTGCGGGCGCTGGCTCGTTACACAGGGAGCTGCGCTTGTTGGTCTTCTGAGTGCATTTCCAGTTGCCTGGATTTCCACAGAAGAGCCTCTAAATGAGACACAGGTGTACGCTAAAGACACAGAAAACAAACCGCAAAGAAAGGGCTCGTGGCCGAATTGCGTCTTAACTTTTCTAACTCGCTGTCCGAGGGATCCTGATGTCCAAAAATGGCTTAGGTGCTCAGTGTCAGATGGAGGATGAAATGTCGCTTTACTAATGGCTAAAGAAAGTTAAGTGGCCGACGCTGGAGATGTAACAAAGCCCTGAGTTTTAAGTCAGGCAGAGCTAAGAGCTCCTTTTATCTAGGCTGGCTGTCCCCTAAGTGACAGAAGCTAGTGGTGACCTGCCTGACACGCTGATGCTGCCAGTGCTGACCTGGCAGCCTGTGGAGACTAAAGGCAGCTTTGCATCCATTACAGAGGTCTGCACAGGACGATCGGGGCAGGTAACAGATGCAAATCCTGCCCTTGATCCTGCCAGCCATCAAGCTATAATTTAAAAATACTCTTGGTTTGTTGTTTTTTTTTTAATGTTGGGCTGGTGCTGTAAACAGGCCTCTAGCTCTGGGTGGGGTCACAGTGAAGCCAGTGGAATTTTTTATATTTGGTGATGTGATGAGACAGAGAAGAGCCAGGGTGGAGGGCAGATAGGAGACCACTGGATGAAAGCTTATCTGGGGCCAGGGTTTATAACCAGGGCAAGCACTTCCGCAGAAGAGCAGCGAGTCCCCAGACCCCACAGTCTTCTGCTGTCAGCAAGCTGCCGCAAAACCTGCCAGCAAACAGAGATTCTCTTCTCTCCTGATTAGAGAATGCACTAGATGAATAATAACACCGACCGCTCTGCTATTTACTCTGATTATCTTTTTACCTTCTGCTGTAAGTATGTCCCTGAGAAATTTACACTTAAAAAAAAAAAAAGGCAAGAAACTCATTAGTCAGTGATTCTTTGAATTGTGGGTTAAATAAGCAATTCAGCATTATGAGATTTTTGATAAAGCAATGAGATTTGGCAACCCTGAGAAGAAGAAAACTCTTCCAACAGGAGTTATTTAAAATTCATTTACAATATACAACAACTCTTAATGTTCTGATTGTAGATAGTTTGGGAATTCTCTTTAAACTACATAGCAGATAAAATCTCATCAAATAATTCTGCCTTTTAAATAACTTTTGCTTGCTTTTTCCCCCCCCCCAGTATTTCCCTGATTTTGTTGAGGCAAAGATGTAATCAGTGATGCGATCTGTTTGTGCATCCAGTTCACTGATTTGTTGGAGTGTCTGTATGGGTGCATAAGCAGAAAGCAATAGCAACTTTGAAAACAAAGCAATCCATCCACGAAATCATTTTCTTCCTCGCATTCTTTTTGACGTCTGAATTATTTAGACCTGAAATACTTTTGATCTGTTTCAGGGCCGTAATACTAGTTTCACCAGACCTAAAAGCTTGTGGCCTTAATAGGACACCCAAACTCAACAGGCCGAAGAGTCAATGTTGGCTATAGGAGGTTCCTGTAGGTTGATCTTTCCCTCTCCTTGTGTCCAGGAGCCTGTTCCCCCTCGTCCTTTTGACAGCAGTACTCCTCCCACCCAACCAAGCCGATACCACCAGTCTTGCACTGGAGCAGCCGCCTTTATCTCCCCCCTCCCCAATCTGCTGCCCGTTTTCCAGGCAGTGTGGACATCCAGCTGCTTTCCTACTGCCCAGTCCTTCCACTCTCCTTGCCCTGGGGATGCAGCTGGGAAGTGCGGGTTCATGGGCAGAGAATGACTTGTGCTCCTGCCTCTATTGTGGGAGGACGGGGTGAAGCCAGAGGCATCAGGGAATGCCTGCCTGTGCCAGGACACAGAAAGTCATTCAGGCTATGTCAGAGGGGTCGTCTCCTTCAGGACAAAGGGAGAGGCTGGGTGAAAAGGGCTCGCGCCCCAAACTTGCCCCGTGGGCCCATTGCTTTAAGGCCAAGTGGGTAATTTGCTGAATAGACTTCTGAAACCCTTGCCCATACAAAACAACGGCGCTTCTGTTTCCCCAGTGTTGGTTCCTCTGTTTCTTCAGTTCTTCAGTGCTTTTGGCCTTCTTTCCCCTGAGTAAACTTTTTTCATAGTTGTGTTGGTTTTGAGCCAGATCTGCTTCTTTAAAGCTCATGCCCTTGCTGAATAACTAAGCATTGTTCCCAATTTTTTTCAGTAGTCTGAGAACGTTTTAGATTGTGTGGCCACGAACGCATCTTTCTGTCCACAGTGGGACTATTAGATATTTCAGATTGTCTTTCCAATGGCATACTGAATGTATTATTAAGAACCTGTTAGCATAAGCAAAAATGGCTTATTTCATACTGTTCAGTTGAGCTTTGTCTCTTCCAGAAAGGGCCTCTTAAGTGATGATCTGCAGAGCAAACTGATAACTATAGACAGATCCTTGAGCAGCTGAGCTGGTCTAAGAGTTTACCACTGCTGAGATGTTGCTGACTCCTCATCTCCCAAACGCAGATTTTCATCTTCCCTTAGTTCCTCCTTGGTGTTTGCCATATGCTTCCATGAGCCACTTCAACTCGGTAACAAGACTGAGGAATATTTAATTGGGGGTGGTGTGGGGAGGTGTGTGTTCATTGCCTTCTGAGCAAATCCTAACCTCATCATATCGAACCACACTTTCAGAGTGTGATTTTACATTACAACTGATTTCTTATGACTGTGGGCTGATGCTGAGAAGTGGAGTCTTCTCCATCTCTCTCCAGACACAGACATGTATTCTGTCTCGCTCCCCCTTAACATGAGGTCCAGTGGCTGGGAGGCTGCAGAACGAATTAGGGGAGCAAATGAGTTCAATGGAAAACCATTGTTTTTCTGGTGGATTTGGTTTCTGTCAGATGAGCTCATTGAAGCAGTTGACTTCAGGGCTGGCCATTGCTACGTCACTAGGCACAAGGGACTATGTGGCCAGGGAAGGGAACGAGGGATGCTACTCTTATTCACAGTTAAGTGAAATTCAGTCCTAGGATTCTTCAGGTGCAAAGCCTTTTCTTCCAACATACTATTGTGATTTCTTAACCCCTGGTGTTACCACCTTACTTTTCATGAACTAGAGGATCACTTTGGAAATTGGACGTTGAGAACCTTATGTAAGAAGCCTAAAGCAGGTATGTTTTTCAGTTTCAGTCTGTATCTTTTCCAGGCGACAGTGCTTTTCACCTGTCTTCTTATTTATACACTCCAGAGGCTAAATATCAAGTGTTAAGTTGCTAAGTGTTCGGTATACCACACCTTAAAATAATAATGGAAAATACTGACTACAGAAGATACATAACTCCTGAAGGCTCTCAGGTGTTGACCATGTCTAATAAAACATTGCAAACAGTACAGATAAGAAAGCAGGAGAATGAGCAAGGAGAGCAAGTAGGAAAAAGGACAGAACAAATACGTACTTCTACTTCCCCTAGATAACACAAAAATAAAATCCTTTCTGTCAAATATCAGCTAAAATAGAAATCAGACATCTTGAGCACTGCTTGGAAGAATGCCACAGCTGTAATTCAGCTTGTGGAGATGAGAATAATGATCCCTTATTTGTCAAGCTGTCTTTACACCATTAATATTTTTTAATGCCTCTGATAAATCATCCGTTTCTTACTGCTATTTAAAAAGAAAACTTTATTTCCCTGCTCACTTATGCTGGATAGTGATTTTAGACCAATGAGATGAGAAAGAAATAAAAGGTGGTTTTGCTTAGCCGTTGTAATCCTAGAATAGGTTAAAGATAAGGTAAAAATAGATAATACTATGAGCCAAAGCTTAATTTTTTTGTGGAAGGAGTGTGAAACACTAGTACATATGGCCAAAACCAGAGTTTGGTATGTCATTCCAGACTGTTCCAGCATAAAATTAGCTCTGCTTTGTGCTATATTAAACCTGAGTTACACTGATTTTTGCTGGTGTAAATTTGGGCACAGAGCCTCCAAGACAGGAAGTCACCCAGGCAGAAAGCAGTCGCGGCTTTCAGTCTGCTGGAGGGCTTGTTGGGACCGGTGCTGCCTATGAAATAGGAGGTGCCGAGTGGGAGAGAGAATCAAAACTGGCCCTGGATAGTGAGAAGGGGGAAAAAAAATGTCCTTTGAAAAGGGAAAGCTTGTTTGACAGCTTGGCCACTAGAGATATTCACAATCCTGCCAAGCATTCCCAGGAATAAAGGAAAATTTGGTTGGGGGCAATTAAATATGAGATCTTTTCCCTCACCAAGCTAAAAGTTAACGCCGACTACTTCATGAAATAAAACAGCCAATTAGGGATAATGAGACTCCTGGGGTAGCCCCCCAACACATATTAATTTTGAGTCTTCATTAAGTTAAACTTGTTTATTTGGAAAAAGCCCTTATTTTCCTTGCGGCTCCTGCTGTAACCTGTTTACCAAACACTACTGGGACACCCACACAAGCTTCTATAGAAGCCAGGATGAAATTTAGAGTTGTTTACTTCCCTTCACAAAAAAAAATTCAAGGGCAGCAATGACAGCAGCAGTCCCTGCTCTCCCACATGTTGAATTCCAGCTAGGCTGATAGGAGTTGTAATTACTTATGATGAATCTCTTCCCACACCTCCCTCATCCTTTTATTGTGCCCCATTGCCTGCTAAAGATAAAGC